GGTTTATAATACCTCTGAGGAATTCTTAGTGAAGTTCATAAAAAGTAAAAAAAAAAAAACAATTCTTAAAGAAGTTAAGACTATTTCATGCAGAAAGACCTCTGGTTAGCTACCTCTTCCTCCCCACAAGTTTTTTGTTTGAGGGGTGGGGCCTTATTGAAACGCCCATGAAGCTCATGAAGACAAACACCGGCCTCTTTATTAGGTACACCTTGCTAGTACCAGGTTGGACCCCCATTTTCCTTTCAGAACTGCCTTAATGCTTTGTGTCATAGACTCAACAAGGTACTGGAAWCATTCCTCAGAGAYTCTGGTCCATAGTGACATGATAGCATRACGTCGTTGCTACAGATTTGTCYGCTGCACATCCATGATGAGAATCTCCTTTTCCACCACATCCCAAAGCTGCTCTATTAGATTGAGATCTGGTGACTGTGGAGGCCATTCAAGTACAGTGAACTCATTGTTGTGRTCAAGAAACCAGTCTGAGATGATTCACGCTATATGACATGGTGTGTTATTCTGCTGGTAGTAGCCATCAGAAGATGATACACTGTGGTCATAAAGGGATGGACATGGTCAGTAACAGTACTCAGGTAGGCTGTGGTGTTGACATGATGCTCAGTTGGTACTAATGGACCCAAAGTGTGTCAGGAAAATATCCCACACACCATTGCACCACCACCATCAACCTGAACCGTTGATACAAGGCAGGATGGATCCATGCTTTCATGTTGTCGACACCAAATTCTGACCCTACCATCCGAATGTCGCAGCAGAAATCGAGACTCATCAGACCAGGCAACGTTTTTCCAYTCTTTTATTGTCATATTTCTGCGAGCCTGTGTGAARTMTAGCCTCAGCTTCTTGTTCTTAGCTGACTGGAGTGGCACCTGGTGTGGTCTTCTGCTGCTGTAGCCCATCCTCCTCAAGGTTCGACGTACTGTGTGCTCAGAGATGCTCTTCTGCCTACCTCGGTTGTAAAGAGTGGTTATTTGAGTTACTGTTGCCTTTCTATCAACTCGAACCAGTCTGGTCATTCTCCTCTGACCTCTGGCATCAACAAGGCATTTGCGTTCACAGAACTGCTGCTCACTGGATATTTTCTTTTTTTCAGATCATTCTCTGTAAACCCTAGAGATGGTTGTGGGTGAAAATCCCAGTAGATCAGCAGTTTGTGAAATACTCAGACCAGCCTGTCTGGCACCAACAACCATGCCACGTTCAAAGTCACTTCAATCACCTTTCTAACCCATTCTGATGCTCAGTTTGAACTGCAGCAGATCGTCTTGGCCATGTCTGCATGCCTAAGTGCACTGAGTTGCTGCCATGTGATTGGCTGGTTTGACATTTGTGTTAATGAGCAGTTGGACAGGTGTACCTAATAAAGTGGTCAGTGAGTGTATGTCCACAATGATGCACAGCTGTTACATTTTTATTTGTTCTGCATTAAACATTTTCAGTCACTTTCTGAATAGTTGAGGCTTCAACGCTACTCAGCAAAGCTAACGAGTCAGATGACACAAATCTCAGATCTCCAACCAGCATTTCATCCATCGTGCGGGTTGCCATGGTGACTTGTCTCACATTTGTGACATTGTTTGCAGAGGACATTTGGCTGAAGTGTGGTTGGTTATATTTACAAGACTGAAGGATCGACATTTGTGTCAAAAACTAAACACCACAAGATTCTAATCAGTTTATGTCTGTGACAAATGCTAAGTTTTGAATAGAATAGAATAGAATAGAATAGAATAGAATAGAATAGAATAGAATAGAATAGAATAGAATGGAATAGCCTTTATTGCCCCGCTGAGGGGAAATTCAGGTGTCACAGCAGCATCAGTACAGAGGTTCACACGCTAGTTACTTTACAAACTATAGACAGCAGAAAAAAACAAAATTAACACTGACTAGCAATGATACTACTATTACTAATACAAAAATATAATATAAAGAAATGTGCAAGAATAAAAAAAGATGTTTTGTTTTAGAGACAGTAGACTATCAGACATTAGTAATCAGAATTTTCCTATTTTCAGTGCAAAATATTCTCAACAGACTAAAGTATCACAGTGCAGACAAGAAACACAGATGTGCAATTACAGCAAAATTATTTTTAAAACTATTACAGCAGAATATTGTTTTGTTGCTTTGTTTCAGATATATTCCCTTTTTTAAATTTTGTTTGTGGGTTACATAGTTCATAATGAGATATTTTTATTCCAGCAATTACTCTGCAGACACGCATAATTTCTTGTTTTTCTCAATTTTATGCAGTAAAATATGCTAAATAGAAGATAACTTAAATAAATTTCCAGTTTAATTGATATTTATGTTTTTAAAAAAGTGCTGAAAATATGTTTTAGGTCTGCTGTTAGGCCTCACAGTGAACACAAAGCTGAGAGTTCATTATATAAAACCACTCTGTCTACCTACACTGACAATTTAGGCGTACCACTAATGCTCTTATCCCGCTCAGCCTGCAGGGGGTGGGGGGTGGGGGGGATGAGTACAGAAGGATGTAAAATGCAGTTACTGAACAATAAACCCAACAGTGTATTTAGATTGTAAAGGTCAGATGTAGAGCTCTAAAAATAGATGCCAATTTCTTTAATCTTGATCTGATCGTGTGACTGAATGTAGGGATTTTATCATTTATATACATTCTGTGAGTCTAGATATAAGATATTTTATAACATATAAGCATATGTTGTATAAACGTCTAATAGAATTGGGCTTTATTTATTAATTTTTTCCAGGACACAGCAGGTCAGGAGCGTTACCGCACCATCACCACAGCGTACTACCGAGGAGCCATGGGCTTCATCCTCATGTATGACATCACAAATGAGGAGTCCTTCAACGCCGTCCAGGACTGGTAGGTTTTTTGTCTTAACGGACATGTTTTTTTTTTTTTTTTTTACAGTGATAGAAGTGTAAACTGACACCCACCTGTGAGAGGGAGGGATGCTGTGTGGATGAAGGCTAAAGCAGGCTCAGGAAAGTCAGTTCAGTCTGGAAATAAACACAGGGAAACAGAATCGATGAACAAGGCAGATGATGTGGTACAGGTTTCTAAGAGTCTAAAATATCTGCTTCCGTTTTAAGATTCAGGATCTTTTATTTTAAACCTTTATTTTAACCAGTAAGTCAGTTGAGAACCAATTCTCATTTACAACGATGACCATTCACGAAGAGATTTTGAAGGGGTCTTGATTTGTGGTAGGTTTCTGTTAAAAACATTTACTTGTCTGTGTTTAAAACCAAGTGAAACTAGCCTGCAGTGAAGACAGAGCAGCATTCAAGGAGGGACTGGAGGTATAGATGATGGTCTCACCAGCATATACGGTATATATGAACCTGAGAATCAACTGCTGAAAGAGGAATGTTAGTGTTTTAAATATTAAACAGAGTCGATCCCAGAAAGCTTCCATATGGGACACCATTAGAGAGAGGCAGGGGATCAGACTAAAGACCCCCACCCTCACTGACTGTAGACGGTCACAACAACAATTCTTAATCCAGTCTAAACTGCTTTCAGATGGTCCTGAGTCTCTTAGTCTGTCTAGTAGTAATTTATGTACTTTATAGGCTGAAACACCTGTGTGATTTCTTTCACTCTAAATGTTTGRTTCATCCCTTCATCAAGATCTAAAAATTATACTAGGTACTGATACAACTCCAATTCCAATGAAGTTGGGATGTTGTGTAAAACATAAATAAAAATAAAATATATAAACAACCTATATTCAATTGAATACACCACAGAGAAATGTTAATGTTCAAATGGATAAACTTTATTG